TCTTTCTTTCTTTCTTTCTTTCTTTCTTTCTTTCTTTCTTTCTTTCTGGGGGGGTGGAAGAAGTAAAAGAAACCATATGTGGTGGCTCATGTTTGTAATCCTTATTATTATTTCCTTTTCATTAAGCATTTTCTATTCAGTAGAGATGTACAGTTTTGTTTCTTTTTTGATTTTTGTATGTAGATAATCTAAACAATACTGGGAAGCTTGTAATGGATGGCTGTTATAGTCTGTTTCTGTCCCTTCTTCCTTTCCATCAGTTCTACTCCATACATCAACTTCTGTCAGCCATTTTTATGTTTTCGTACTTGAATGCTGTCCCAAGTCTCTAAATTATATTTTGTGTTTCTACTTTGAGCTGTGAGTGAGTTGCTGTAAATATAGTTCACCAGCGTCTCTGTATCCCCTTTCCTTTTAGTATTCCGTCGTAGTTATTTCACTGTTATTCTTCACTGGCTGTAGTTTAGTCTTCCTGTTCTTGTTTTATTATCCCTAAACAATGCTTTTTGAGTGGAGCTAGTGTTAGAACCTAGGGCATCTCAGGCCAGCAATCTATTTCTGAGCTACATCTCCAGTCCAAACTTAAATTTTAATTGTCTGTCTCTCTATCTCTCTATCATCCATCCATCCAGTGTGTGTGTTTGTGTGTGTGTGAGTGTGTGTTTGCAGATGGGCCATTTGTGTGCCTCAGAACATGTATAGAGGTCAGGGGGCAACTTGTCTGGCTTAGTTCTCTCTTTCCATCATGTGGGTTCCTGGGATTAACTCAGGTCTTTAGGTTTGGTGGTAAGTGGCTTTACCTGCTGAGCCATCTCACTGGCTTCAAGTCCCAACTTTTAGTATTTTCAGCTGTTACTATTTATAGACATTTTGGTAAACATAGTTTTTTCAAATTATTTTATGAATATATGTGTATGCCTCAGTGTATGTGTATGTACCACATGTGTACAGGAGCCGTCAGAGGTCAGAAGAGTTACCATATCTGGAGTTACAGAAAGTAACTCTTGATGTTTGGATACTGGGAATCAAACCTGGGTCCTCTGCAAGAGCAGTGAGTATTCTTAACTGCTGAGCCATCTCTGTAGCCCTGGTAAACAGATTTAAAAACATTAAATAAATTTAAAAAAATTGTGTGTGTGCGTGTATGCCACATATGTACAGGTGCTATAGAGGCAGAAGAGTTCATCAGAATCCCGGAGCTGGAGTTATAAGCAATTATAGGTGCTGGTGATCTAATTCAAGTTCTTTGGAAGAGGAGCAAGTGCTTATAACTGCTCCATCTCTATAGCCCCTAAAAACTAAAAAAACAGTTCTGTGGTTTAATTAATTAATTAATACTCATTATTGAGAGAGAGGCAAGGTCTTACCATTGCCTAGGCAGCCTGGAGCTAGCTGCATAGCAGAGGCTGACCTCTTGCCACCACCTCCCAGGTACTGGCAGGCATATATCACCATGCCCAGCATTGTGGTTGAAATTAAATGGTGAAAGTAATTTTTCTCTCTCTACTGGAAATATTTTTAGATTAGTGGAATGGATCTTTTTAAAAAAATTATTTAGTTTTAAAAATTTTTCATGTGGATTGGTGTTTGCCTGTATGTATGTCTATGTGAGGGAGTCAGATCCAATTCAAAGAATTTTATAGGCAGCGTATCTTAGTACAGTGTGTCTCTGGCTTTCAGCCTAGCTTTTTAACATAGCTACTGCTGATAATTTTGCTAGCAGGTAAGCTTTCTTAGACCAGTTTTAATAATATTTTGGAATTTAGGAAACTTAATTTAAAAAATACACTTATGTGATAGAGACTTAGATTTTGTTGTTTCATGAATTTTGTAAAATAGCATTTAAGCTTTATGTATGTTAGCTTTACCTGATAAAAAGTAAATTCTTGGGGGTATAGGATATAGACTATAATTAGAACAAAATAGTTGCTTCTTTAATTTTTAAATTAAAGGGTCTATATTGAGAATTCTTTACTATCTG